TACACTCATACACTGCTGGTGGGACTTCAAATTGGTGCAGCCAATATGGAAAGCAGTATGCAGATTTCTGGGAAAACTGGGAACAGACCCACCATTTGACCCAGCTATCCCTCTCCTCTGTCTATACTCTAAGGATTTAAAAACAGCATACTACAGGGAGAAGTGAAGTTAGCCAATCCCAAAAAACCAAATGCCAAATGTTTTCTTTGATATAAGGAGGCTGATTCATAATGGGATAGGGAGAGGGAGCATGGGAGGAATAGACGAACTCTAGATAGGACAGAGGGGTTGGAGGGGAAGGGAGGGGGCATGGGGTTATTAATTTGGTGGAATGTGATGATCATTATTATCCAAAGTACAGGTATGAAGACACAAATTGGTGTGAATATACTATGTATACAACCAGAGATATGAAAATTTGTGGTCTATATGTGTAATAAGAATTGTAATGCAATCCACTGTCATATATAAATAATAAAAGACAGGCAGTACAAAATTAGAAAACCATAATCTCTCCTACAAATTTAAAGTACAAAAATCTTCAATAAAATATTAACAAAAATCCAATGATGAATAAAATTAGTTACATAACACAATCAAGTGGGATTTATTAAAGATATGCAGTACTGGTCCAGCATCAAAAACCATGAATATAATCTATAAATAGACACAAGCTAAAGAAATTCAGGCTGAGCATTCCTAATCTGAAAATTATAAATGCTCTAATCTGCTACTTTTGAGCATCAACACGACACCCTTAAGGGAAAATACCACACCTGACCTGGAGTGATGGATCACAATAAAATGCAGGTGCACTGAGGCTGGGGATGTAGTACAGTGGTAGAACACAGGCTTAACATGCGTGATACCCTGGGTTTGAACACCCAGAACTACACACACACACACACACACGCACACACACACACAATGCAGGTGCACTAAAAACAAGTGCATAAAATCACCCTCGGGCCATGTGTGGTGTACTTCAAAAAGAAATGTTGTGTTTAGACTTGGATCTCATCCCCAATATCCAGAATTTTCCAAAATCCAAAATCCAAAAAATTTCATCATCTGAAACACTTCTGATCTCAAGCATTTCTGATAAAGGATACTCAACTTGCATCTGGCTCAGAAAGTTTAACAAAAATCCAACATATATCCATAACAAAAATTCTCAGCAAGTTAGGAAGAAGTGAGGCAAGGACACAAAACAATGCATGAAAACAAAACCTACTTTAAGAATACTTTGTTCCACTATTATCGATTAATGCTAATTCAACTTTACACAGTATTTCCAAAATAATCTTTAAAACCAAGTATTTCAAAATCATATTGCTAACACTCTTGACTTTGGCCCACCTATAGGAAGAGAAAGTGTAATCTTACCATCTGAGTACAATAAAAATCATTATTTTTCTAGAACTTTAGTTTTTTGTTTGGAGGATTTATTTTCCCCCTTATAATTGAGAACTGCCACTTTACATGAAAGGACAGGATTAAGTAATTAAATTACGGGACGCTTTCAGGGATAAAGTCATAAAGAAAGAACAATTATCAGTTTATGCACTTTCTCCCTTTTATGAATTATCTAAACTGATGGTTGATTTCCACTCGTACTTTTCCTACTTGAGTCAATTTAAAACTCCAAACAATAGGGTATAAGAAAGACATCACCCTACTCAAATAAATTCTGTTCTACTCTTAAGATACACGTGGTCTCAAAAGTCCATGTTTCACAAAGCTTCAGTGTAAAACAATGAATGTAATTCTCAGTATCATTCTGTTCTAAGAAACCTACTACTTTAATACCACACAGATTCTTACATTGATAAACCATTTTCAGGAAGATTTAACACAGGAGGAAATTGCCACTGTTGGAAGCAAAACCAGAAAAGATCAAGACTTGGCTCAGAAAAGTCATTCACTTCTCATATATATGGAATACTTAAAAATACCAAAAGAAAAGACCCATAAAATATTTAAATAATGAATTTATAGCATGACATAATGATTTTTAATCAAAAATAAAAAGTTAACACCCCAAAAAACTAAAATGAAAATACTTAAATACAATTACTCTCACACAAGCTCTTTAAAAGGGAACAATTTCAATCTTTAATAAAAGATTTTCAGAAGGCAAAAAGAACATGGTATATTTAAACCAAAATCATTGTTCTGCAGTAAAAGGGAAAAATGGATCCAAACATTATTTATTGATATCTTATCTAGAATACAAGTCTATAAGAAATAAACAATATTGAATATAAAATAACCACACAAGATAGAATAAAACACCAGCTGAAAGATGATGACTTAGGAAAACCTGATTAATTTACTTTAGATAAACTGAGGTTTCCCAAATTTTCCAGAGTTTCTCAATCAGGGGCAGTTTTGTCCCTGCCCTAGGACATCTGGCAACATTTTTTATCATGACTGGGAAGTGTACAGGCTACACTTTCTGGGTACCAGGGATTGAACTCAGGGGCACTCAACCTCTTGTGGGAAGAGGCCAGAGCTGTGGCTAAACATCTTATAATGCATAAGGTAGCACCACAACAAAGACTTATCCATTTCAGAGTGGATGCAATGGCACACACCTGTAATCTCAGAGACCTGGGAGGCAGAGGTAAAAGGATTGGAAGTTCAAAGCCAGCCTCAGCAACTTAGCAACACCCTAAGCAACTTAGTAAGACTCTGCATGGAATGTTTTTTTAAAGTGGGGAGAGGTGCTGGGGATGTGGCTTAGGTTAAACACTTTTTTTTTTTTTTTCTGGGTACTAGGGATTGAACTCAGGGGCACTCGACCACTGAGCCACATCCTGGCCCTATTTTGTATTTTATTTAGAGACAGGGTCTGAGTTGCTTAGTGCCTTGCTTTTGCTGAGGCCATCTCTGAATTCACAACCCTCCTGCCTCAACCTCCTGAGCTGCTGGGATTACAAACATGCACTACCGCCCATGGTTTAAGCATATTTTTTTTTTAAAAAAACCTACCCATAATCAAATATATTAACATATAAAATATATTAAACTGTCAATCCCCCATACTGGAGGGGAAAAAAAAGAAAAAAAATATCCATTTCAAAGTGTAAAGAACAACCCTCTTGAGAAACTCTATCCTGATAAAATTTACTGAAAAGATGTTGGCTACACACATTCTTATAATCTTATAATACATATAAAGCAATACAATTTAATGTCTACTAAAACATAGTTAGAACTGTCAAGCACCTAGATGTATCCTATTTCTAGTTATACCAATCTTTCCTCCTCCTGCCTTTCCCTGTTACTCTCCTGACCATTGCTCCTATTACACTCCTTTCAATCTACCTTCCCATTCCAAAACCTCCAAATTCTTCTAAGAAACAAAACAGAAAACACTGCTTTATATATGCTACCAGAGTTAGCATGACTTCTCAGCAATCACAAGTTTTAAATTAATGTTTCCCAAGGTTTCAAGAAGTCATGAATCTAGTATATGATCATGAAAATCAGTGTTGTTTTACTTAAAAAAAAAAAAAAAAAAAAAGGATGCTGTAGGACTACTTTATCATTCTTTCTTATAACATCTAAAAAGGTGAGACTTGACCCACAACTCAAAACAAAATGCCACCTTACATGTTTCTAAACCATTAATCAAAAATTTCAAATTCAGGATTTCATCAGTACAAGGTGAGTTCCAAAAGTTCACACCTTGCTAACAAGTGGTCCTTGGATTCACATTAGCTGCACTTAACAAAACTACTACCTAATTGCCTTCCTTTTATTTTTCTTAAGTCTCTGTCAAATACACATTTTAACATTCCCGACTGGGAGCCAACTCCATTTTTAACCTATTTGTATTTTTCAAATTCCACTTAAATCTTGTCTTAGTCTTAACTTTTTCATTCAACTGCATACAAATAGCATCATTTAAACAGCTATATCCCAGCATACCTTGAACTATTTTTTAATTTTTTTTCTGTAATTTCTCTAGGCATTTTTTTCTCTAGGCCTTTTTTTTTTTTTTTTTTTTTTTTTTTGAGGGGGTACTGGGAATTGAACCCAGGGGTACTTTACCACTGAGCTACATCTCCAGTTTTTTTAATTTTTTATTTTGAGACAAGATCTCACTAAGTTGCAGAGGCTGGTCTTGAACTTGCAATTCTCCTGCCTCACCTTCCCCACTCACTGGGATAACAGCAATTTATCACCCCATCCAGCTCATTAATAGTTTTGAAAGTAACATGAAGAAAACTCCTGATAAAAGTACAAAAAAATTAGGAGCACACAGATAAGCCCGGTTTTAAAATTTATTTTCAATACCTTTCATGAAAATGACATAATATCAAAATTATTTTTACATTAGAAGGAACTAAATACATTTTAAATACTCTAAGCCTCACAAAGATGTGCTTATGGTACAATGTCACCTAAATTTGGCAGTCAGTTTGAAAAATGTCACTTAACTAATCATATGTATATAAAAACTGTTATAAAGACTTTGGAGACAGAAACAAAATTGAATTATTTCAGAGAGATAATGTGTTTATAGGGAAATTTTATGTCTGTAAAACAACCCCAAACAACAACAACCAAAAAAAAAAAACTCTACCCGGGTTGGGGTTGTAGCTCAGTGGTTGAACGCTTGCCTTGTATGTGGGAGGCACTGGGTTCCATCCTCAGCACCACATAAAAAATAAATAAATAAAACAAAGATATTGTGTCCATCTACAATTTAAAAAATATTTTTTAAAAAAACCTACCCATAATCAAATATATTAACATATAAAAATATATTAAACATAGATGAAACTGTCCAGTCATCCATGCATCCAAACAAAAGGCAGAAATATTTAACACAAAGTTAAACAATGGTTTAAACTTCACTTATGATCACTTATGATCTAGGATAGTACTTCTTTCTTTAGAGAACTATTTTTTACAACCATTTCAGGGCACTATACCTTCTTAAAGTTACCATATATTTAATGCTTAATAATGCAGAAAAATTCACTCACCATTTCAGGGGTGTGCCTTCATATTCAAACCATATCTCACTAATGTCTTCTTGTCTCATAACCTTCTGAAAGTGCTTTTTCACCTTGTCAGTTACCAACGTCAAATAACTTACTCTTGGCAAAAGCAACTGAAATGAAAATTTGTAAAACCATATTTACTTAATGCGTATTTAAAAACAACAGTTTTTTAATATTAAGGAAAAACAGCTAGATTCTATGCTTTCCATTATTTTGAATATCCCACATAAAACCTACTGGTTTTTATGGAAAATTAAAGGCTAGGTTAAGATGTTTGATTATTTTTTATGGCATCATTACTTTTAAGTATAGCTTATCACATATATTCCTATGATTATGAATGCAAATCTATCTACAATCTTTCTGTAACACATAAAAATATAATGCAATTAGATATACTATTTAGGATATTTAATAGTTCTGTCAAATTTGACTTAAAAGTTAAAATGATTCCCCTTAGTTAATTAAACAATTCTGAAAAGATAATCAACTCAGTCCTAAAGTATGCTTTGACTTATCAACCAGGACTTCACAATAGCCTGTCATCCCAGCTATTCAGGAAGCTGAAGCAGGAGGATTGAAAGTTGAAGGCAAATCTGAGCAACTTAGCAAGACTCTGTCTCAAAAAATAAAATGGGCTGAGGGTGTAGGACAGTGATAGATTACCCCTGGGTTTAATCCCCAGCACTGGAAAAAAATATTTCAGAAAGAATGTTGGATAAAGCCTTAAATAGAATAGCTTTAAGAAAATCTGTTTTCCACCAGGAACAGGATCCAGGAAGAAAACATGAAAACTGGTTATGATTTTTATAAAAAAAAAAAAAAAAAAAAAACACAAATAGATATAAAAAAAAAAGGGGGAGGATGGCAAAAAAAAAAAAAAAACATGCTTTTCCTCTTTTGCAATAGACACTCTTAACTATTTCATGCTTTACTAATCTGCCTTCTTCTGCTGCTAAAATTGTGTTGTTACTCAGATGCTTGTAGGAGTCTGTGTCCCATCTTTCATAATGGCTACCAAGGTGATATCTTTTGATCAATACAAAAAGTAGAACTAATGGGTCGGCAAGTATATACAAAGAAATATTCCTATTGAAACAATTGACATTTAATCCTTGAAACTCAAGATAACAGCCTTTAATTGGGTAGGAGACCATGACAGTGGTCCTAGGAGGTACAGTGTGCAGTAATGTAGGAAGGAGATAGTTGGTATGCTCTAGTACAGAATGGAAGGCATTGAATACTACAAACGTGCTGTTGGATAGTATTACAGATTCAACAAAATGCATCCTTTATAAAGAAATAACCAATGGTCTGGGAATGTAGCTCGGTGGTACAGCACTTGTCTAGCATGCATGAGGCCCAGAGTTCAATCACCAGCATGAGGGTTGGAATGATGGATCAGTGAAGAAAAAAATAGAAAAGAATAGTATATATAAGGAAAAACACTAGATATTTTTTAAAAGGAGTATTATCACTTCTGTTTTACATAAATAACTTGCCAAAAGAATATGCTATTAAATAAATAGCAGACAAGATTCATTGGAGTCTTTGGAAATGACAGAATTAATACAGATGTGTCGTGGCAATCTCTCAAAAAAAAAAAAATCAAAACAGCACAGTAAATTAGATTTATTTTAAAATAAGGAGTATATTCAATTAGTCTAATAAGATTCCAGAACTATAGTAATAATGTATTCCACAGAAAATAATATTAACCCATTGAAAATGATAAGATGGAAGACACATTATGACTAAAGAGACTTTGCTGAGTGTTATATTATATTCCTAAGGTTCAAGGTTGCTCAAGAATTCACAAAGGATTCCAATAAGGAAAAAAGAGTAAGAAAGGGATTTTTGTTTGTTTTATTCAATGTTGCATTTCCACTGCACTAACTAGTACCTACAATAAGCATTTTCTAAAGGAATCAGAGTTACCAAAGGGCAAGTGGAACAAAGAACCAAAACTAATAATTAAAAACAATACCCATTTTTAGGGGAAAACTCATAGTAAAATAAAGTTGCAATCTTCTGATCCACATTGACCTGTGGGGATAATCTATAACTAACATAAATATCCACAGCAACACTAAGAAAGAACTCTTAAGAATGACTACCTATTATACACACAGATACAATTTATCTAGAAAATATTTACATACAAAAAAAGCAAAGAAAAAGAAAAGGAATTACATCATCCTGCCTTGGATCTCCAGACTCATAGTTGGGCTAGGAGTGTAGCTCAGTGGTAGAGATCTTGCCTGGCTTGCTCAAGGTCCTGGATTTGATCCCAAGCAACAATAACTTTAAAAAAAAAAAAATCCTCTCTTGTTTTGCTTAGGTGATGTCTCATTTGCTTATTTCAAGTTCCTTAATGTGGTAAAATACATCTACCATAAAATTTTTAAGTGTATAATTCAGTAGCATAAAGTACATTGTGCAATCATCACATCCATCTCTAAAACTTTGCTTTTCATTATTCCAAAAGGAAGTTGAGCATTAAACAATAACTCCCCAATCCTCCTTCCCACAGTTCCTGGTGACTACTACCATTCTACTTTATTTCTCTTTGAATGTAACTACTCTAAGTATGTCATGAAAGTGGAATCATACAGTATTTCTCTTTTTTTTTTTTTGGTGGTTTATTTCACTTAGCACATCTTCGATGGTTTTTTAGGTTCTTCTATTTGAAAAGGATTAATCACATCTGAGGAAATTATTAACTACCATGGAATGTATTGTGTCTTATTCCTCACTTAGCACTGGTATAAAATACTCAATGACTTTAACACTAATTCATTTTTGTCTATATAATTTAAAAGGAATAAATGCTTGTTTTATACAGTTGTATGGAATATTTATATATCTGGAAAGGGTAGCCAAGACTTTTTGGGGGTGGAGGAATCAAATCCAGGGGCACATTACCATTAAGCTACATCCCTAGCTTCTGCTGGTTTGTTGTTGTTTTTTAATTTTTTTGAGACAGAGTCTCAAAAAAGGCTAACCTTGAACTGGTGATCATCCCGCCTCAGCCTCCAATACATTAAGTTCTATTCTATTTAAACAATTTTCAGTTACCAAACTTAAGACTTATCTATGATAATAACAGAAGTAAAATATACCAAAATTCTATTCTACTCCAATGTGTATAAATATCATACTAGGCAATACAGAAAAGGCACTAGTGAGACAGAAAGTCCTTCTGGAGTATACAGGCTAAAAAAGGAAAACACACTAAATATAAAATTACAAGAGACGAATGCAATTAAGAAATAAAGAATGTCACGACAGCAAATAGCAAAGGACTTTAACCCAACTTAGGGACTTAGGAAGCTTGACAAGGAGCATATTTTAAGGCAAGAATAAAAGACAAATAGGAATGAAACAAAGGTAGATATGGATGCATGAGTGTGTATATGGGTAGAAGATACTTCTGCTCTTTGCAGATAAAGGACACTGCAAGACAAAAGGCATGGAGTGAATGCAGAACAAGATGGGCACATTCGAGTGTTTAAGAAGTTGAATATGACAGAAATGTAGAGAGTTAGAACAGAATAGTATATTAGAAGAAAGAGGCCAGATTATGGAGAACCTTGTAAACTATACTAAGGATCTGAGAGATGATATAAAGCCTTTAAGAGCTTTCAATGAATAATTTATAAGACAAGATCCATGTTTTAAAAAGATCACTCCAACTGCAGCCTAGAAAATGAAGAAGGAAAGACTAAAGCAGGGAAACTGGTCACTGCTACACAATCCACCCATTTTAAGTGGTGCTTGAACTAAGCTATAGCTGTGAGGATGAAGAAAATCATATAAGTTTGGAAGATACTAAGTTACTCACCAAACATAAGGGATATCAGAAAAGAACCATGAAAGGATGAATCCTTTCATGAAATCTTACCAGGTTTCTGGTAAGAATAATTAGATGAATGATAAGACTACTTGCCAAAATATGAAGGGAATCATGGCAGATGACTGGGTGCTCCAGGGATAAAGATGATGAGTTCAGTTTCAAACACACTTTGGGTTCCTTAAACATATCTAAGTAAGGATCTCCCAACAGTTGTATACATAGGTCCAGAGGAGTTGTCCAGACATGGTAATGCATTTATAATCCTAGTAAGTCAGGAAACCAGCCTCAGCAATTTAGCAAGACCCTCAGCAACTCAGTGAGACCCTGTCTCAAAACAAAAAGGACTGGGGATGTAGCTCAGCAGGAAAGTTCCCCTGGGTTGAATCCCCAGTATCCCCCCACACACACACACAAAAAAAAAATAAAAATAAAAATAAAAACAGGTGGGTTATAAAAAATACAAATGCTTGACAAAGACATAAAAATGAACAAGAGCTTTAAATGAGAAAAGTAGTGAAAAAAGAGAAGACAGAACCCTAATATGTATCAACATTAAGGAACAAGTGAAAAAACAAAGGCTAAAGAAAAACCAGGAACACTAAAGACCAAGAAAGACAGTTTCACAAGGTAGAGAAAATAGCTAACAATATCAAATACTACTCAAAGATAAACAAATGTAAATTCAAAAAAACTCCATGTTGGGTAGGAAAAAAAATCATTAGTGACTTTGGTAAAAACGTTTTTGTTGCGATAGTATCAAAATGTGATTACAGTGAACTAAGTGGTAGGAAGGAGACAATGAGTATAAATAATCTGTTCAAGAAGCCTACCTGTAAAGGGACAGCAAGAAGTTGAGAGGAAGAGAGGGTCACAGACATTGTTATTTTAGGACAGGAAGAATTTATGCCAATATGAATACTGTGATGAAACAAATGGATAAGAAGTTGGAAGTAAAATAAAAAGCAAAGGTGAAGAATATGAGACACCTCAGTTTCCTGAGAAGGCAGGAGACAGCATCCTAGGAAAAAAGACCAGTGATGTGGCTCAGTAGTAAGCACTTATGTAGTAGCAAGCATGAGGTCCTGGATTCAATATTCCCAGCAGAGGCCAGGGGGTAGGGGTTTGGGGGTTGGGGGTGGGAGGCAACACAACAGACACAAAGAGAATGAGAAAAAAAGTTCACGTGAATGCAGACAGGTTTTGCACATTTAGTGGCTGAATAGAGGCCTATCATAGACAGTGAGATAACAAGTTAAGTAAAAAGAATGACGTCAGGGCTCAGAAAAATTGTCACAGTAGAAAAGAACAGGCACAGTTAACTATAGAAAGGTAAAAGGACTAATGGGCCAGGCATGGTGGCACACAGCTGCAATCCCAGAACCTTGGGAGGTTGAGGCAGAAGGATTGCAAGTTCAAGGACACCTGCACAATTCAGTGAGACCATGCCTCAAAAAATAAAAATATTAAATATTAAAGAATATAATCCCAACTGAGGGATTTGGCTTTTGTCAAATCCTAAACTAGGGATCCTCTTGCCTCAGGAGAAATAGAAAATATTAAAAAAAAATCTAATAAAGGAAATTTTTTCTACAAATAAATTATAACCACATTTAGTTATAAATTTTGCTAAAGACACAAAGCTGTTGAGATTTCCAAAGTTAACATTACTTAAATGTATGTATGCCAGCAACAAGATTACCTACCTTTTTTAAAAACATCATTTCTAGTAAGAAAATTCAAAAAGAAGATTTCAACCAGAATCCCAGAGTCTGGGGAGGTTTTAAACATAAGTACCTGCCATTTACACATCCCATGCCAGATGCTGAGGATGCAGAGAGGCATGTTCCTACACCCAAAAAGTAACTGACCAGTCTCCATAAGGAGTTTCTTCCAGCAATCTGAGTAGCTAGAGTAGGCTGAGGAGTAGTGCTGCCTCTCAGATAGGCAAGGGAATAAGCACAGGGCAAGCTTCATTCAAGTGAAACAGAAGAACAACTAATCACCCCACATATAGTTCCTCTTTTCCATATCTTCTCCAAGTAAAAAATAACAATATATGTACCTGAGACCCAAAAAGAAAAAAAAACAGAACAATTGAAATCTGCTTATTTGTGACGCTTTATTAAATAGGTAGGATATTATCTCTAATTGACAGACACATAAGTTGTCTGTTACTATACAAAGACAAAAAAGAAAAAAGTTCACACTAAAATCAGAAGATGCTTGAAATTCATGGGGGTTTTATTTGGTTGTTTTGTTGTTGTTGTTGTTGTTAAGATGGGGTATCATCATGTTGCCTAGGCCACCCGTAAACTCATGACCCTCAAACCTCAGGTTCCTAAGTAACTAGGACTACCAGCACATACCACAGAATTTTGAGGTACAAGAGACACTACCACTAAGCTACATCTATCACCTGAGCTATGTTCCCAACCCTTTAAAAACAATTAAAAAAAAAAAAAAAAAATTTAAGACAGGTCTTGCTAAATTGCTCAGGCTGGCATCAAACCTGGGATCCTCTTGCCTCAGCCTCCCAAGTCACTGAGCTTACAGGTATGCATCACCATACCCAGCATGAAACTCATTTTTAAAACAAGTAATCCATTAACCCAAATCTACAAGTCTGCATGCAACAACTGATATTCCATATATATATTTTGCGGGAAGGATGATGGAGATTGAACCAAGGTTTCATGCATGCCGAACACACACCCTCTGTTTTGCTACATTATCACCCCCAATATATTATTAAATAGGTATCATATGTTAGCTTAACATATATTAGCTTAGTGAACATATAACATAAAGAATCCAATCTGAACCTATTATTTCAACTCCTACTAAAAATAGCATAGTTTATGATCCCACTATGATATAGATAGATACACATATATATATATGAAAGAAAAAAGTCTGTATGTATATGATGCTAGGAATTGAACCACTGAGCTATACTCCTAATATGATTCCACTGTCATAAGTCACAAACAAGAAAAGAAAGTCAAGGCATCACATTGTATCAACAGTGGTTTTATACTCTAGGTGACAGAATTAAAAGTGATTTTGTATTTCCTTCTTTTTGCTTATCTTTGTTTCCTTTTTTTTTTTTTTTTTTGCAAAATATGGATTAGTTTTATATAAAATGTTAGATGACAGCCTCCAGGTTCTTAAAACTTTATTTACAAAAATGAACAAAGTTAACTATTCCATTTACCACCGTCAACATACTTACATAATATGGTTCTGCTTCCCTTTCAGTTATCTCATCTTGATACAGAGTGAAGCAAGTGGGAATTCGTCCAAACCACACATCTCGGAGCACATCTTTGTCATCTGTCATTCTTCCAGTGGTTAAAGCAGTACATATAGGCTAAATTCCTTATTCAACCAAAGCCAAACTGAAAATAAAATGAATAGCATTAGTCAGATCCTTGGGAGAATAAATGAACATGCTACAAAATAATAGAAAAAAAGCATGCCCAAAAAAAATATTCATGCAAAAAACAAAACAACAACAACAAAAAACCCCTGCATGATTGAGCTGGACACAGTGGCACAAGCCTATAATCCCAGCAACTCAGGAGGCTAGTACAGGAGGCTGAGGCAGAAGGGTTGCTCAAGTCTAGGAGTTTGGGGTCAGCCTGAGCAACATGACAAGAATCCATCTCCTTTTCATAAATTTTTTTTTAAAGTGAGGTCAGCATTCTTTAGAATGAATGTAAACAATAAGTACAATAAATTCTAAATGAGTGGTATTGTTTATTTAAAAGATTCACAGCGGGGCTGGGGCTGTAGCTCAGTGGTAAAGTGTTTGCCTCAAAAGTGTGAGGCACTAGGTTCGATCCTCAGCACCACATAAAAATAAATAAAGACATTGTATGTTCATCTACAACTAAATAAATATTAAAAAAAAAAAAAAAGATTCACAGAAGTAACCAATTCAAAATTCATGTGAGCTGGGCATGGTGTCAAACACTTGTAATCCTAGTGGCTCAGGAAATTGATGCAGGAAGATTCTGAGTTCAAAGTCAGCCTCAGCAAGAATAGGTGCTAAGCAACTCATTGAGACCCTGTCTCTAAATAAAATACAAAATAGAGGTGGGGATGTGGCTCAGTGGTTGAGTGTCCCTGGGTTCAATTTTTTTTTTCCCCCAAGGAAAAAGAAATCACGTGCAAGTAATGTTCATTATATTTTCCAATAATGAACCAGAGTCAACATGAAAGTTATACTCACATCATCATTTCAAGCCCAGAAAGTCTTATTGTTTACCTAAAGAGGACTTTTCACCTATGCCCTATGATTCCTGATAACCAACACACAGGCTCATTCTCACAATTACACCTGCCCTATGCAATATATTTAACCTCTCCTACTCCAGATACTATCATTCTATCATTCTTCCTGAAAAAAATACTTCCTCATCATGGAAAAAAAATCTGCATATAAACTTATTCCCCATTCTAAATTTCATCTGATCTGCTATCTGGTCCCACAACTATCTCCAGTTTTATTTACTATACTTCCTTTTATAAACTCTCTAGCAAAAGTAGTCCCCTAAACATTTTGCTCTGTGTCCTAACCATTCCCCTAGCCTAGTATGCTCACCTATTCCAATCCTATCCTCATCAAACTCACAATCCTCTGCCCCAGTAAAATAGTAATTAGTTCTATTCTGAACTCAGAATACTTCCTATACCACAAATTTGGCATTAAACCTGCAAATGGAAATATTCTAGTATGGTAGAAGGGAATGATTTACGATCTCTGTAATATCCTAGTGTCCATCAGTGGTAATATTCCACAATTAACCAACACCATAATACACTGCATGAATAAACACTGATATAATAATAAACACTTAGAGTAACTCAATAGATGGCACCTGGATACCAATATTCAATATACTCATTCAAATAAAATTTCCTATCTTCCTCCCATCTTTCATAGACAATTCACAATTTATCATAATGTATCCTGTGAAAAACTTCTAAATAAACATATGCAATCCCAGCACTGCAAAAAAAATTATATATGAACAAATATCAATTAATATTAATACTATGCTATTCAAAACCAATGCCAACTGTGTTAAGACAACCACAAGTTAATTAGTTAGAAAAGTTGGGGGTCAGTTGAATGCAATATCACCTACAGGCAAATAACTGAAAAAGATAGAAAAAAACCTGCCCAACATAAAAATTCCAGGTAACATTTATATCAAGTAAGAACTCTGATACTTAAAATGAATCTGCCCTGGTATGGTGGGGCACACCTGTAATCCCAGTAACTTGGGAGGCAGAGGCAGAAGATTACAAGTTCAAGGTCAGCTTCAGAAACTTAGCAAGACCCTGTCTCAGAATAAAAAATAAAAAGGACTCGGGATGTAGCTCCACAGTAAAGCTCCCTTGGATTCAACCCTCAGTACCAAAAAAATTTTTAAAAAAATTTTTTTAAATCCAGTATTCTTTTCAGCATATCAGTATTTTAACTATTACTAAAATATGTCCACAAGTACCTATTTTAAGCAAATGATACATATATGTAAATTTCATGTAGTTCCACAGTGATCAGTTTTAAATTCAAACATTGAATTTCCATAATCAGAAATTTTCCAATTTTACAAATCACACAAAAATAATTTACTGAATATAGGAAAAACCTCACTACTACCTGACTACATTAATAATTTACTCTTTTAAAAGAAATTTACTAGTGGTAGGAATTAATGAAATCTAGATTATGGCAAATAAGTAAATCTAAAATTGAATTAGATAAAAGGAAGTAAATAGTGGTTTCCACAACCATGATAACAGCCAATAAACAGCTACAACTGATATTCCCCGCCTGTTCACAAGGAGAACAACAATATAAGGCAACATTTCTTTACTAAAAAGACTGAATTTTAATTTTTGTTTTTCTTTTGTGTTTTGCAATGCTGGAGATTGAACCCAGGGCCATGTGCACGATAGGCAAGCACTATACACTGAACTATATTCCCTACTCAATTTAATTACAATTTTAAAGTTCAAAAGTCATTATCAATAATGTGATGCTCTTTTCTCCTAAAAAACAGGTAGAAAATATAATTTAAGACAACTCAAACTTAGAGGGAATGATAACTTAAGTAAACGCATCTCTTCAGGTTCTTTCTTTCTCCTCAGGCACTGGCCTTCTCAAGAAATAATAACCTGATTCCAGGACACCATTTGAGCCATAACCAAAATATTATTCATGTCAATATGGCTTCCTTCTCTCCAGTCTAGGGTGCCAGAACACTTAACAATTCTGTTGTTTCTTTCCATGTCATTCTCATCTATGACTCTCTTTCATTTGTCAGAACAGTAAAAAGAAATGACAATGTTTTCTTCTGTTTCTGAGAGTCTCTCTCCAAAAATTACAAGAAAGGGAGAAAATCTCAACAGACTTGTGTTTTAGTCTTATGTTCCAACAGTTTACCAAAGTTCTATAGTTGGGTTTTAGATACAAAAATACAGAGAAAAATAAAATTGGAAATGTATTTCCCACATACCATTATTTGTTACATATATATTTCTTATATGACCTCAAGGATAAAAATGAACCAAGACAGCTTAAAGTGTAATGTGGTAGACATGATACAAATTTGCAAAACAAACTCAGCAAACAAGGCTACTTACTGCCTCAAAATATGCAGACTCAAATCTATAAAACCTTAATCTTTCAATATTAATACATGATCATCTACAATGAATAACAAAGTATGTCTCTAGGCTAGTTAACTAAAAATGTACAAAAAATTTGATGATAAATGAAAAAAAATTAGAGGATGAGCTCAACAATCTTTTTGTAACCAGAAGCAGAAAAACAAAATTTCCCTCCAAATAACCACTATAGTTTAGGGACTGAAAATGAAAAATGGGACATCAGAAAGCCTGGATTCAAAACCTAGCTCTGTGTTATGGTTTGGACATGAGATGTCCCCTAAAAGCTCTTGTTAATGCAGGAATATTAAGAGTTAAATGATTAGATTATGAGAGCTGTGACCCAATTCTAATCCTAGTTTGAATGGACTAAGTGAAAACTGTAGGCAGATGCAGCAGGCTAGAGAGTGGGCCACTGGGAGGATGCTCAGGAAAGGTACACCTTCTCTTTGGTCCTTCCCCCCGCCCCCTCGGTTTCCTGACCCTCCTGCCCCTACTCCCACTCCCATGAGCTGAGCAGCTTTCCTCTGCTGGGCCCTTCTGCCATGATGTGGTACCTCTTCTCGGGCCCAGAGCAATGAAGTTGGCTCTGAAACCATGAGCCCCAAATAAACTTTTCCTCATCTAAGTTGTTCTTCTCAGGTATTTTGGACACAGCAACACAAAAGCTGACTAAAACATCCTACCATTTATAATGTGACCTCAAGTAAGTCACTTCTATTTTTTTCAACCTGTAATATGGAAAACAGCATTTACCACATTAGATGAGAACTACATTACACACACACACACACACACATATACACACACACACACACACACACACACAATTAAAGTCTAAAATATTTAAAGACTTTAAGAGGCACTGGGGATATAGATCAGTGATACAGGGTCTGGTGCTTCCATACCTGAGGCCCTGGGTTCAATTCCAGAACTGGAGAGGAAAAAAAAAAAAAAAAAAAAATATATATATATATATATATATATATATATGTTATATATACACATATATATAAAATATATATATATGTTATATATACACATATATATAAAATATATATATACACACACACATATATATAAAATATCAAAATATATAAGATTTTAACAACTAAGAATAATCAAAAGCATTATATAACAAACAGGAATTAGAAAGGAAAGCTAGCCCAGCATGGTTGCACACACCTATAATCCCAGGGCCTTGGGAGACTGAGGCAGGAGCATTTCAAGTTTGTGGCCAGTCTCTCAAGAAGCAAGACCCTCGGCAACTTAGCAAAACCTTGTCTCAAAATAAAAATAAAAAGGACTGGGGTCAATCCCCAGTACCAAAAAAGAAAGGGGGAAAAGAAAAGCTATAGCTAATAATTATGTATTGAACGCTGCTAATAGCCTTCAGGATAAAGCCAATAAATGATTGATATGCACAGCTTTATGGCATATGCTGGGGAATATGAAATAACAACAGCTTTTTAAAACTTCAGTCTTTGCTCAGAAGGTATTATAAATTTCCAAATCTAGCCAACATACCAAGCATTTTCATGTCCTTTCCATACCTTGTCCACAATGATATTCCCTAAAGCAGACTTCCTATTTTGTCTTCCAACTTAGACATCCTTTAGGACCAGCTCAAAATAACCTTCCTTCTATGCATGTCTCAGGTAAAATTCTCCTTTTCTTCACTGAATCTTTACTTTTTCTCTATTTTAGCAGTTATAAG